CATACTTACCATTTCTGTGCGATGCAGAAATGCATCTGCTGGTTACTTAATGTTAGAGACACTAAGTCTCATAGAAAAGATTCAAAAACAGTCCAAATACTGAAAAGCGAATCGCTAAAATAAGTTGATATGCTTTCAAAACATGTCTATATATATCTTCAGGCATGCATGGGTGCGCGCAAATGCAAACGTCTTATGTTAACTGAAACCCCTACTAGGTCAAATTCGACCAAATGTAGCATTAGGAAGTATTGCCGGAGTTTGGGTGTTGTAGAGTTTGACATTGGCCGGATAAAGGCACAATTAACTGAACCCACACCTCTATCATCCCCATCTGTGCCTTCCGCACTTATACTCAATCTTCTTATGTCATTGGAGAAGCCAGTTTAAAGTATTAAGTCGAGTTAGTATTTGGACATCACAACGGATTCTGGATGCCTGCATTCAGAACTTGAAAACATCTGTATGCAGTTTAAAATGAACTTTTATGGCACCGGAATATCTTATAAAAGTTAGCAGGACAACAAATTGTCAGAGTCACAAACGACAGTCTGCTATGAACCTCGCTTTAATTAAATAAAAAATAAACAGTACTGGTTATATAGGCAGAATAGCATTCCCAATAAGGACAAGGGAGATTGAAATGGCCATTTCTGGCCTACTAGTAGTCATCACGCAACCATATCGAAGCGCGTGGTGTATAACCCCCGAGGCTCGAACTCGTGATCTGTTGGTTGAAAGTCCAACGCGCGTTGTCCTATCGATTGCGAGCCCCATGTTTTTTACACTTCGGGCTAGGGTGTGGCTGTCGTCGCCATGCAGCTGCTGGCTGGGCTCGAGAGCGAGAGCCCTAAGACACAACGAGACGAGCGAGTTCCGTAAAACGACCGGTGAGCGCTCCTCCACCATTGTATATTCCCGATCACAAGCGACAGGACAGCAGGCCTGTGTTTCAGTGGTTAGAAGCGTTTGACTTATAACTAACAGGTCGCGGGATCGAGCCCCAGGTGGTCCACACTTCGGGGTTGGGCACGACTGGCTGACGACGGCTAACAAGCCAGAAACGGCCATTCCAGTCTCCTTGTCTTCGTCGGTAATGCCATTCCGTCCATAGTACGCGCAGCCATGCGGCTGCTGTTGGGACTCAAAAGAGAGGGGCCCAAAGCGCAAAAGAGAACAAGTGAGTCTTGTAACGCGATCGGTGAGTGCCCCTCTGTCATAGTATTGTTCATATCTGCACAGAAGTAACATTTAACCAAGTTGATTTCCGTTTAAGAGTATATTTGCCTTGAAGTCTTAATATACAGACGGTCGTACGGTGACGGAAAGAGGGGAAGCTGAAATTGTAACTCCTGGCGAATAAGTCAGGAATGACAATTTAATCCCCCCCCTTCACGCCTCGATCTTCTTTTGCCACTATTGACTGGTTTCCTCTAATTTAATGCCTGAAAACACTGGCTCCCGAAAGGGGCTGAGCCGTAAATGCGATAGACCACATCAGGAGTTATGTTGGCTCACTACACGTGTTTATCGGACAAAGCAGGGCGCACAAGTACTGTCGTACATACGCTTGGTGACACGCCTACACGTCGTGTCACCTACTGCGCTGAACTCGTTGGTTAAGGTGCTCAGACAGACAGCTGGTGTGTGGGGGAGAGTGAAGAGGGCGTAAGATCGACACCGGGGAATGAATACTCACGGCACATCAGCACAGTCTTCACTAGCAAAGATTCTGACGCATTTGCATAAATCACGACAGGTCAAGCATCGTGGATTGGAAGGCTCCCACCCAACTAGGAAACTCGGTCCTCCCAGGAAGGAATGTCAGATCACAATGTCCCCCCTCATTATATGATTTTTATGGGCCTTCCACGAATGAAAGATCTGTACCGCCCTTACACATAATGAAGATCGAGCCGCGTCAGTCTCGGAGCTCGCGTACAGCTCCAGTCGTTACGACATGGTCTCGCCAACGGTGCAAGGTCGGTGGGAGAGTGCGATAGGTGCATCGCAAGTCTGCCTCGCCGTATAGTAAGCCATGCGCAGGCCACCGGTTCTGTGCACTCTCCGTGGGGCAGGCGGCGAACTTTGCTGATTGCTAAGACCGGAATGTTATCTGCAAAATCTCAAGATTGGAACCTGAAAACAAGGGGTAAATCTCATGTGTCCGGAAAATGGAGAGGCAAGCGCCAATTGCATGTGGTTTTGGGTAGTAGTGATTAAGGCCGACAAAACCTACGTTTTTTGCGCAAATATATAGTTAGTAGTTGAACTTACTTTACCAACTTAGGCTTTCGCCGGCACGGCTTTGGGGTGTGTAAGAAGTTCCGTCGCTTTTTTGTGCTTATCTCAAGAAATGTTAACCGAAATTCTGAACTGCGTTTCCGATTCGAAAGCATTACTGAATTAGGGTTGCAATGCTAATTATCGCGTAACATAGTTCCAAGATATCTCAGCCATGACAAGATGCGGGCTTTTGAACAAGGTACTTCTCGGTCGCCTGGTAAAATCACACTCTGTGAAAAATGACAACATATGCAATATTTTTATCACTGATTTTCGATGTCGTTATAAATCTAAATGCATTTTGAAAAAAAACATACGCAAGAGTAGTCTTTCTTGTACTTATTTGTAAGCAACGTACGTTCTCTTTAAATTTTTGTGGTTGAGGAAAGGACAACTTTGGGTCTTAAAAGGCACCTGCTTTTATGCTTCGGGGTTTTCGAACTACAAGCTGCATATTTTCTATTTAAGGAACATCATACATTTCTAAACGTTATCAGGCATATGCCATATAGGGCTCAGAAAATATTGCAATCAATGTGGACCAACAGTTTCCGAACACGGTAGTATTCCCGAGACACCGTTAATTACCTTTGGTGTCGCAAATACCCCTTAAGAGACCGTATATTTTCCGCGGTCTAAAAACCATCCAGTTCTCTACGGTACTAAGAGGAGACCACGTGGGGTTCATAAAATGTATCAGTGGATTTGAGTCATCTTGTTAGCTTTACACACCACATTGGTAAATGCAGAGACATGGCGTTTTATGAACGGGCGTTTCGCGGTATTAACAATCTTACAATTAGAAACTTTTTTGAAAACCGAATTATGCCATTTCTTCGAGTATTAATTGAAAGAAGACGAAATTTTCTAACGAATGGGCAAACGAACGAATATTTTAATGCATCTCTTCCAGGAAATGTAATTGAATATTTTAGGACATTAAAAATCAATGAGAAAAATTCATGCTACTTGAGTAGTTATTTCCTACATAACGGGATTTTGGCATGCGGCTGGAAAAAAGTTCGTTTAAAAGCCAGCACTATAAGGTAGCTAGACCGTTATAGAATTACGCTGCACAACGATTAGTTTTACAACCCTACTTAATCAAACCTTTGGAAACGAAAACGAATTTGGAAGTTCGGCTGACACTTCATGAGTTAGTCCACCTACTATAGATGACCGATGATACCACCAGCCAGTAAACCACGAAGTACTACGGTTGGAGAATATCTCCAGAACAGTCTTCGACCAAACTGAGGAACAGTCCATACTGGGGTTCAGAATATGTGTCGTTCATTGGTAGACTGTACATATAAGATGACTTTTAAATTTCCTACGAAAATAATGGTGGTAAAGAGCATAATTGCTACAAAGATGATCGTCTTTAGGTATGGGAAGTTCAGTAGGAAAACACCCAGCGACCCAGCTACATTAACGCACTCGGATGATGATAGTCCTTAGTTTTTTTCCTCTAAACATATGCGCAAATGAGGCTCTTGGGTATTTTCAGATGGCTTTATCTAAAAGCGAGTTTGACCAGCTCAGTCGTTGATGGTGCGATAACTCGATTTTAGGGGAGAACAGCTAATAGTACTCGTTATTAAGTTAAGAAATGAACACGCAACAAGGCCAGAACCCGAAAAGCGAAAAAACGGCAGTTATTCTAACCACATGGAGTTTTCAAAAATTCAGATTAGAAAAATTGTCCAAGCTTCAAACCGCAAGTGATAAACATGGGATTGCGTTGACAACTGCTACAGAAAGTTAACAGTCATTGACCAATCAGAGAAGCACAATAATCTTCATGTAGAGTAGAAACACAATTTTCCGCTAATATTTTCCCCTGGCGGAAAAGTCACTGAGCATTTCTTTTAACTGCTAACGTCTTCAGGCAAAATACTCGCGTTTGGAAGGCAGAAAAATGATTTGTGTGAAGAGACAACAGTCACGCCTGACACAGACAGCGGTTTCAGATAAATAGCAAATTGTGCTGAAAATCAGCGCAAAACGATTAGATTAGTGAAGTCGTTACCCATTCACGACTCCACTTGCTAAATTCGCCGGTTTTCGAAACGGAAGACAAAATCCTGAAAAGGCAATTTTAAAATGCTAGAACTGCAGAATTTTCCGGGAGATATAGAGGGAACTTTGAGCGATGGTTCCGCCCTCCACTTCTTTCTTTGGACAGCAGTTTAAGAGCCAGACTATTCCTGCCGCTTCTGAATCTCTTACCTGAAACTTCACTCTTTAAGCAAACTCTGTCATGTATTATTTTCCGCAGAGCATCTGCTGCTAAATGCATTTTGGCAGGAGGGGCTTTTTTCATGCTCTTTCCAGCGCACACAACTGCCTTCACCCCATGCCTCGTGCATTTTAATTGGCGAACACCGGCGATGACCTGGTTGGATAATTTCAGCCTGTCACACTGTGGATCACTAGACCTGTGTTAGGACCGACTGCTCACGCGGCAGTATACCCTTTTTCCTCAGCGGGCAAACAGAAGCGTCCCCTTGACCTTTAGCAGCCAAAATGATGACTGAGGGTGTCGTGCAGGGCTGGCCTTGTCCGTGAAACATATCAGTTAGTTCGTGATGAACACGACGGATCCTAGAGTCAGTTGTCTGAGCCGCAGAGTCTGGACAGAAGGACCGACCTATACGGATGTACTGCAGGTCTACCGGGAGATTATCGGCGCCTGGTTAGGCATTCCGATCATGCTGGTAGGCACTGTTACCAGTCTGCTCAGTTTGTGGATGTTTTCCGTGGACCGATCCACCCCACGCACGACCAGACTTCTCCTCATTGCAGTTTCTGCCTCGGACGCCATCTTTCTGCCCTTTGCAGCCATGCACATTCTCACTTATGCCTTCTGTTCCAAGAGCTGTCGTCTTGCAAGTCCCCTAAACATATACCTACTTGCTTCTATTGCGCGGATTTTTGGAAATATTTTCGAAATCTTCCGAAATTGGATCATGGTCTTGATCGGGATTGAACGTTATGTCATTACTCGGCACCCGCTGAAGAGTAAACAGTGGTGGACACCCAGGAAGACATTTCAACTTGTCCTCTACACGAGCCTGCTCTGTCTTATAGTTCGTATTCCCACGCTGACAGAGGCGATCATCTACGCCCTGGACGATGTCAACAATACTGAGATAATAACCAAGATCTCCAAAGCACACACCGTGATCGACAGCATTTTCCTCACCCTCCTGCCGCTTTCCGTACTCAGCTTCTGTGGTTTGCGTATCCTCATAATCATCAAACGGACGCAGAGACTAGTGGTGTCTGTGGGCTCCTCCTTCACCTCCCGATTTATGCATCGTCATAAGGCACGCAACCGATACAGGGTCAATCAGGTCCTACTAATTTCCATGATCACATTTTCCGTCTTTATGTTGCCCTACGTTCCACTCTCGGTGCTTCAATGGACGGTCTGGCGGACAGATGTGCGGCCCAGCTGTGGCGTCATAGTGGCTGAGTACGTTTTGGCCTACCTGTCGACCCTGGGAACACTGCTCAACTCGACGGCCAACTTCTTTGTCTATGTGTACTACTGGGAGAAGTACCGCAAAATGATTGCGGACATGTTATGCAGTCATAAACACGGCGGTGGTAAGTGTAGCAGTCTTACAGTATCCCTCAATACACCCGAAGCTGCGGCTGGAGCTACAGTGCAGAACGGAGAGACGGTGAGGGCCTCGCTCTTGGCATCCTAGCGATCGCAAGGACGTTAGACGTCCAGTCCAGACACTGTCAACCCATGTTCTACTACTATGAGTATAGAACGCATCGTGGCGATTGAATCCCGTGGAATACTAATTTTCTACTGCCAAAGATATAAAGAAACGAACAAGCAGATGTGCGTATGATCATCCCTTTCCTTCGTTTTTAAACTTTACATTTTAGATGTTGTTATTTTTGTTGAATTCAATGGCAAGCATTTACGTAAAGCCTTCTTTTGTATCCAAAATGAAGCCTGACGGCTAGAAAAGGGGACGTTTATTCCCATAACTGAACTATAGGGATTGGTCATGCGTTTACAGCTCGGAGTATCTCCGCTGAGTGAATATATTTGTTCACCAATAAGACAAGCACCTGAGTGATCCGTGTAGATTATTAAGGGGAAAAACTGACCCAACTACCAGTGTCAGCTAAGAGAAGCCAAATGTTCTTAAGAGGCGAAGTAACCTGTATGTCGACTGCATTGGTACTGTTCTCGGCCACTTAGTCGGAACAAAATGTAAATCTTTGTTTAGAAACGCTTTTCGATGTCTTTGGTTGGATCAGGTTTATTTTTTCAAAAAACTCCTTTAAATGACAGAAATGGCTTTAGCTACCTCATTATTTCCATCATTTCCTGTCAGAAAAGATAGCATAGAAAAGCTCCTTTTATTGTGTCTCACAAGAGACAGATTTTAACTCGGAAAAACAGGCCGAATTTCAAGGACGAGAAAGTGATTTTTGAATGTAAGCGTCTAGACGTAAACAAAAAGTTCACTCCTCTGTCGTGGTTCTAAAAGAATATCCACAGGTTTTTGTGCAGGGCGCAGTATATGCGCCAGTATTCGGATATATGAAATTTAATAAAATGCTAAGTTTGTTGCTTCCACAATATGAGAGATTCAGGCTTTCATACCGAAGCATCTACCGCAAGAAGAAAGGTGGCTCATTTTTCACGCAGCTCGTATTACTTTAGTTTTTCCGCTTCTCCATGCAATGGCTAGATCTCTCTCCCCCCCCCCCAAATCGGCTGCCCTAAAGTTGGTCCGTCCAGCAATAGTCGCCTCCGTAACTGTGAGTATTATTTCCAGACATCGATTTTAAACGAATTTATAAGGTTCTTGCGCCATGCAGAATGCGGAAAAACCAGTAAGCCTAGAGGTGGGCGAATGAGCTAATGGAAAATGGGCCGCTCAATATGATACGGAAATTAAAGTGAGCAAATATATATATTCTTCTAGGATAGGGTTAATTGGAGCCATCGGGTGTTTTTCTGGCTTGTGACGATGACATGCAGCTGCAGCCGCCTACTTTAAATTTCCTCTTACTTATTACTTGTAGTGCCCCTTTTCCTGCCCAGCGCCATTGTTATCGAATCTCCAGTTGCGGTAGGTGATGTGGGAGACTGCTTCAAAACCTTCTTAACGAGTAACATTGACAGTTTGCCTGTCACATATCACCATGTGCCCCAAAGCAGGGTGGGTACAGGAACGGGGATTTGTGTTCTTCCTCTGACCCAGTTTGTAAAATATCGAATTTACTTATGCCGGATGACCAAAGATCTCATAGGAGGGGGCTCAGGCGTGTTGAACTTGACCGAAGACGGCTAATAAGCCAAAAACGGCCGTTCCAGTTCCCTTTGTCTTTCATAGATGTTTCAGTAGATTTTGAATAATTCATAGTGACCCCACTGCGAAAAACTCGGCGTCTTAGTGGAATTCGAACCAACGGCAGTAAGATGAAGGCATTAGTGCAGCCATTACTCTAACCGCCAGAGCTACGAGGCCCCGCCAGACGACGTGAGTTTAATCACATTAGGACCAAGTTTACCGGCCCAACCTATCACAACGTCTGGAATCCCTAAAATCTGATAGAGTAAGTTGAACACTTAGGCAGTATTTCCTAAGTAATTCACCTAAAATCCGCCAGATGACAACCAGGCTCACGTAATTCGTGGATGTTTTGGCAGATTTTGAGTAATTCCTATGTATGAGGTCACACTGACATGACGAAAAAGAAAGGGCTCTTGGGAAAAATTGGTCATATTCGCAAATTCCTAGGCTGGTTTCACCGACCAGCGAGTCACAACTAAAAATCAAAACACTTCTGACACCAATCGTAGCGCGATGTCCACTCCTTCCTCCGTTGACGTCTGCTGACTGATGTAATCTCCCTGTGCAAAAGGCTCTAGCGAAACAATTTCACCCTCTGCTGTTCACTTCGTCTGGTGGCGAAGAACCTTATCTCGGCACATGACCCCTGCTCCAAACTTTTAAAACAGTAAAATGTTTAAAAATCAGTAACCCTCTGTGATGGGTCGAAGCTTATAAATGAAATAGGATGGTACTGTCCTGTTTCGAAACATACAGTAGATGTGCTAACCCATGAAATGTTAACCAAAATCCTGAAATACGTTTTCGACTCGAAAAGATCGCTTAGGTGGGGCTGTAAAATTAATTGCTGTGTAGTATAATTCTATGACACTTCAGTTACCCCAGGATAGCGGCTTTCAAACGAACTTCTTTTCGACCGCATGCAAAAACCACGTTTTGGAAAAAATGACTACTTAATTAGCATTAATTTTTCTCATTGATTTTCGATGCCCTTAAATATTCAATTATTTTTCATGGAAACCATGCATATAAATATTCATTTCTTTACTCCTTTGGCAGAAAATAACGTCTTCTTCAAACTTTATAGTCGAATGAAGGATATGACTAGGTTTTAAAAGACTTTTCTAATTCCTGAATAATTTTGAACCAGACCTGTCGTTACATTGTCTTTCAGAGTTTCCAAGCTACAAGTTGCATATTTCCCGTGCAGGGAGAACTTTACATTTCTTTACGGTATTAAGAGGAGACCATATGGGTTTCATAAAATTTAGCAGTAGATTGTCACCATATTGTAAAATTTATAAGCCACATTAGTAAATGCAGAGGATCGATGTTTAATGAGCTAACATTTCGCGGTATTAACAACCGCATAACTGAAAACGTTTTTAAAACTGAATTATACTTTTCCTTCAACTATAAAGTTTTAAGAAGACGTAATTTCCTATCACATGAGTAAAGAAATCAATATTTATATGCATGGGTTCTGTGAAATAAATAAATTCATAAGGGCTTCGAAGATCGATGAGAAAAATTTATGTTAATTAAGAAGTCATTTTTTTACAGAGCGTGGTTTTTGCGTGTGGTTGGAAAGAAGTTCGTTTGAAAGCCAGTATCCTGTAGTAATTGAATTACCATAGAATTTTGCTGAGCGATGCTTAGTGCTACAGTACTACACAAATAATCTTTTCAAATCGAAAACACATTTCGGAATTTCGGTCAACATTTCTTGAGTTAGCACATCTGCCGTACACGGGTCGAATGACGAAATGTTTTGCGTTTTCGTTGGAGGCACAGATGCTGCCGGAATTCCATCCTCAACCAAACTCTTTGCCACGAAGACGTCCCAACACGGTAAAAGCAATGCGCGAGGAATCGCTTCTACCGCTTAGGTTACCTATCAAGCTCATGACATTATTCGGTCGTACTGATGTCGGAAGCTAGCATTCAAGGTGAGAAGATCAAAGCCTATTTGTTTTTCCGTAATCTTCTGCATTCAGTTGCGTCCTTTTTCCTCACCGGAAAAAATCCTGACGAACTTAAATAATTCGAAACTAGCGTGTCTGATCCAGTTCGGCAAAGACACAGGAAGGATAACAAAACAGAAATTTTAATTTGCAAAAGCATTTCAGCGTATGAGTTCAAACAAGTGTGTGCAAGTATTACACAGCGCCCGTTGAGTGGTACTTCTATAAGGGTAACGCTAGTCATGTAGGCTGGAGTGATAGATTTCGCCTCCATATATTTTTGACCTAGGATACCTGAACACTTTGACGGGAAAGACATGAGAAGTGGACTGAGTTCCGGACAGCCGCGTTTAGCATAAACGGGAAAACATCACTTGGCCAGCATCCGATCGCGGTCATGGAGGACCGAAAGCTGACGGGATTGCTGGAACCGGTGGGGCTATTTTGTGAGTCAAGATTTGCTTGAGCCATGGTTCACTGGTCTCCAGTCTACCAACGTTTTAAATGACCCCTCTCACCCCACATTCGGCGTTGAGACTTCGCCTGGGTAGAGTAGTTAGCAGCATGGGGAGCTGGCAGTGTTTGCAACGCCAGGGTCGCTGAGCCAGATGCCCGAGTAAACACCACGCCAAAATCCAACATGGATGAGAAAGTTGCAACGACTAACGGCTCGAATGTCGGCAATCATGTCACTATCGCACCAGGGGGCAGCCGTCCTAAATGAGGGCGGAGCCGTTAATTTTAATTGCATAGCGGCTGCATTCTGTAAACACTGTATCACCCTGTGCACAAATTATCTTTATCTGATGAATTTTCTGATGATGGGTCCAGGCATAGATCCGAAACGCCGGGTGGGAAAATGTCCTGTTTCAGCAGGCGTGTCCACCTCTCCTGACTGTCTGGACGTTCCCCAACACTTCCGTCGTCAGTATACCAGTTCTGAACGGCCGCCGGAGCTCTAAAACTATTAGGAAACATCTGTAGGATTTTTGGACTTTGTATAATAATGGAAAACAGCACTTGTTAAAGGCCTAGAGGGCTGCGAATGCGCGAATACAGGAGCAGAAATGGACTGAAGAGGAGTGTGCAGAAAAAAGTTCAATCGTGATACCGATGATTGGTTAAATAAGGGAAATTGCAGGAGTGGGTAAAACGAGAGGAAAAAGGAGTAGGCAAAGGGTAAAACGATTGTGAAAACTTCGTACTGTTTTTGTCCACACTTCATGGAAAATTGTTATTTGAAAATATAATGCTGTGTTTTGTAAGCCTTCCTCTTCCCTATGTTTCCATGGTCCATTTCAAAAATCGACACTTTCCAAGCAGGTATAGTGCTAATGTTTGATTTAATATATTTAACCCCGTAACACCCGTAATGACATGCATGTGCAGATGCTGCTTAATTATTTAGAACGCAGAAAT